TAAAATGTGCTAAAAATACAGAAATTAAATTTATGCTCCTTTTTTCCTAAATTTTGATTGTCTGACAGCGAACTTCTGCTACTACTTAAAACTAACAAAAACATTTTCTATCCTTGAAGATGTTGTTTAGCGAAATCCTAGCAACAGGTCAGGTGATTTTTTAGATGCTAAAATTTATTAGAATTAGAAAAAATAACTTTAATCGTCATATTTTCCAAATTTTGATTGTCTGACATTGTTCGGCTGTTACTACTTATAAGTAAGAATAAAATGCTCTATCCCTCAGGATGTTGTTCAGCAACTTCCTAGCAACAATTCAGATTATCAGCTCATAAAATTTACTAAAAATACAGAAATTAAATTCGAATTTCTTTTTTCCGAAATTTTGATTGTCTGATAGCGAACGTCTGCTACTACTTAAAAGTTGCAATAAAATTTTCAATTCTTCAGAATACTGTTAAATAACATTTCAGCAACAAGTACAGTGATTATTATCTGATAAAAATGATTAGAATCAGAAAAAATAGATTTAATCTTTTTTTCCTTAAATTTTGATAGTCTGACAGCAAACGTCTGCTACTACTTAAAAGTAATAATAAATTTCTCTATCCTTGGAAGATATTGTTAAGCAACATTCCAGCAACAATTCAGGTGTTTATCATCTGATGAAAATTATTAGAAAAACCACGATTGACACTATTTCCTAGTTCGAGATATTAAATATCAAATTGTTGACTAAAGAAATTAATTCTATGACTCAAAAAAAATTGAAATAGTACAAAAATAACAAAAACGAAAGTAAATCTCTAAATTTGATTATAAATTAAATTAATTACAAAAAAAAATTATTTATTACAAATTGGAAGGAAGAATATGCGTATATTCTCGAATGCCACTCAAAATGAAAAAGGGAGGGGAAAAAAAAACGACGCAACAATGTGTCAGTGAGTTAATTAAGGCAATTTTTTTTTTACGCTTTCTCTCTTACTCTCTTATAAACTAAAAATCAGGGTTTTTAAACCGATTACAAGTTTTAATTCCCACAAGGGAATGAAATGAAAAAAGAAATTACCAGTCTGGTTCGACTACACGTTTAACGCGCTCTCAATCAAATTTACGATCTGGTAAAGATTCGAAAGGTCGGGGTATGTCTTCTGCAATTGGAATTCAGGACGAGCAACAGCAGCAAAATTCCGGCTCTCTGTTTTTGAGATTGAGAATCGTGCGAGATTCACGAACTTTGATTATATACAAAATTTTCGCCTCTCTTTTTAACAAAATATATATATATTTTATATGTATATAACTTTCTCTCATGATTCAATAGAAATAATTTTTTTTTTTCTATCCGCTCTTGGATTAGAGCTGAAAACTTTTCAAGTTATAATGATAATTACGATTTCAAATAGGCAACAACCTTTTTGTTCTCTCCAAATGGCAAACCTATCCACTCACTATTTGCTGCTTCTAAATGTCGTAAAAGCAAACCGCCAAGATTGCCACGGGGAATGAATATTGTTGTACTTCCACACGTATGTTCACGCTTTTATATTGCTTATAGTTTCTTATATATATATATATGGGAGCGAGGAGAAAGAGAATTCCTTCGATTTTTTTTAATTCGGTGGATTAATTGTTTTTTTAATGGGAAAATTAATTGTGTCTTTGTGGAAGGTGATATTCTTGCAAAACCTCATTGATTCTTATCATTACTTTCCCTTGTTTTTTTTTTTTTGTTTGCATGGAGATATTATCTCTTTCTTAATTTATTGTTAATTAATAATTGTTTATTAATTTTAGCCTATGATTTTTTTCTTTGGAACATTTACTGACTCTGAAAAAAATTGTCGACATTTCCTACCTCAATCTTTTAAATTACTTTTCAATTAAATTGTAAAATTTAAATCAATTTATTAATTAAATTTCCATTATTCGGATAATAATGTTAGGGCTCGATTGCTCGAATTAGTAAAAGTATTTAAAAATACGAACTTTACAAGACTTTTTTCTAACATTCTTCTTTAAATCGATTATTTTTAATAATTTTCGAAAAAGTTCTTTGACAATTTTCAAATCCATTTGTTTAAAATATTAAATTTTACGAAGTTTCAATTATTCGTAAATTCTCTAATTAAATAAATATTAGAAAATAAAAACTTCAAATAATATTTAAAAAAGTCAATTAAACTTTTTCAAAAAAAATAATTTCAAAATTCAATTATTTCTAAAAATTTACGCTATATTTCTTTTAATATTCAATTATAATCTAAAATTTTAACTAAAATTCATTTTTATGAAATGAAAATCAATTTTTATTAGAAAATTATACTAGAATTCAATTATTTAAATAATAAATAATTTATTGAATTATTGAATGTTTCTTAAAATTCAATTCCCATTCAGAATCGTAATCAACAAATTTTCAAATAAATTGAATTCTATCGACGAATTTTAATAAAATTTTCAAGAATAATTACATTTTTCGAGAAATTTGATTAAAATTGTATTGAAAATAATTGAAATTCTCCGATGAGTTTTATTATTTGTGAAAATAATTGAATTCCTAAAAAGAATTTTATTATTTACAAGAATAATTAAATCTTGTAAAAATTGTATTATTTATGAAAATACTTGAATTATTGCGAAGAAATTTATGAAAAAATTGTAAATAATTGAATGTTTGCGTAGAATTTAATTAATATTTTTTTAAATAATAATTGAATTCTTTTAGAAAAATTTTAGTAAAATAGTAGATATTAAAAATCATTGAATTGAGGAAATTTTTTAAAAATAATTAAAATCATTAAAATTTTGCCAAGAATTGTATTAAATTTTTTTTAAATAATTGAATTTCGGAAAAGAATTTTATTATTTATAAAGATAATTGAAATTTTGATAAAATTTTTTTTTTAAATTTTTTAACACAATTAAATTTCTGTGAAGAATTTTATTACTTTTGACAATAATTGAATTTCTGCAATAATTTGTAACTTTTCTAAAATTGAATTTTTTTCGTGTTTTTAACTAAACATCTTCTATTAATCCACTATTTTGAATATAATTTATAAAAAAGTTCTTTAAGAATTTTCAAAATCATTTGTTTACAATTCAATTTTACAAAATTTCAATTATTCGTAAATTCTTCAATTAAATATATATTTGAAAATAAAAACTTTAAATAATTTCAAAAAAATATACGCAATTAAAATTTAAAAAAATTAAATTCCACAGAATTGTTAGTCAAAAATATGAAAAATTTAAATTTTCAAAGATTTTAATCCGAAAACTTTTCAAAATTCAATTATTTCTAAAAATTTACGCAATGCTTTTAATATTCAATTATTATCTAAAATTTTAACTGAAATCCATTTTTAAATCAATTTTGATGAGAAAACTCAACTAGAATTCAATTATTTAAATACAAAAATAAAAACATTATTGAATAAATAAATGTTTCTTAAAATTCAATTCTCATACAAAATTTTATCGTCAAATACTCAAATTTTTAAATAATTGAATTTTTTACGAATTTTAATAAAAGTTTCAAGAATAATTGCATTTTTCGAGGAATTCAATTAAAATTGTATTAGAAATAATTGAAATTCTATGATGAGTTTTATTATTCATGAAAATAATTGAATCTCTGTCAAAAATTTTATTATTTATGAAAATAATTGAATTATTGCGAAGAAATTGATAAAAAATTTGTAAATATTTGAATTCCTTTGAAATTTTTATTATTTATAAAAATAATTAACCGTTTGCGTAGAATTTTATTAAATTTTTTTTTAATAATTCAATTTTTTTGAAAATTTTGAAGATAATTGAAATTTTGATGAGAATTTAAAAAAATTTTTGAAAATAATTGAATTTTTGCGCAGAATTTTATTATTTACGAAAATAATTGAATCCCTATAAAAAATTTTATTATTTATAAAAATAATTTAATTAGTGCTAAATAATTTATAAAAAATTTGTAAATAATTGAATTCCTGTGAAATTTTTATTATTTATGAAAATAATTAAAGATTTGTGTAGAATTTTATTAAATTTTTTTGGAAAATTTTATTAGAGTAGTAGATACCTATTAAAAATCATTGAATTGTGGAAAATTATTGAAAATAATTGAAATTTTGACAAGAACTTGATTAAAAGTTTGGAAAATAATTGAATTTCGGAGAAGAATTTAATTATTTCTAAAAATAATTGAAATTTTGACGAGAATTTTGAAAAATTTTTGAACATAATTGAATTTCAGAGAAGAATTTTATTATTTTTAAAAACAATTGAATTTCTGGAATCATTTGTAATGTTAACTACTGTACATTATTTATTATTGTTTAAAATTTTTTTTCTTACTCAAGAACATTTGCTGAGTTATCAGAAAAATTGTAGACGTCCAGATTTTTTAAATTGGACTTTTCAATGAAGTTTAATTTATTTTAGATAATAATTTTCAAATACATTATCAGGGTAATAAAATTAAATTGAGTAAAAAAAATTTTCTATTTTAATATTAAAAAAAGGTACTGAATATAAGTGACTCCTAAATTAATTTTCCAACAAATTTGAAGTTAATTTTTATTACCTGTCGTTGAATTTTATTCTTTTATTTTTCCTTCGATTCAGCAATCGAAAATCACGATTCGCGTATCACGAGAAAGGCGTTTAATGGTAATATCAAAATGGTTTACCAATTGCTTTAGAGATCTAATCACAGTAAATGTGGCAACAAACTCGTGTGGTTTGATCCGATATTAAAAATTTCTCATTGTTCCACGATTTCTTTACTTTATATTTATTACTTTTTGTTACATTTTTTTTGTGTTCAAAAATTTTCCTTTCTCACTTCTTTTTTAAAATATTGAAAAAAAAAAATTTTTTTTAAATTAAAAAACAAACGAAATTAAATTTTATTAAATTAAAAAAAGTAAAGAAAAAAAAAATTCTCGAGATATAAAAATAAAAGAGGAAAAATGTGTAATCGTCTTTTAATCATAATGTTCATTTTGATTCATTTGATGTTTATTGTTGTTATTGCTCAACAAGTGAAGGGCAAAGAAAGAAATCAACGTGAAACAGTTAGAGAAATTAGTGAACTTCGTCAAGATTGGATGAAAGAAATTTTAAATGTTAATAAAGAACTTTTAGATGTTCAGGCTGTAATTGCTAAGGACGAGGAATCAACGACCAATTGTATGACGGGCACGAGAAAAACGTGAGAAACTTTTTAATTAGTTACAATAACTGCATTTTAAGATTTAAATTAGTGAAAATTTTCCCGCGAATTTGTGTTACTAACGTTTCACAGTTAACGGCAATTCTTTTTACACGTTCACTCATTAAATAAAAGAGAGTTTATAAATTTTCCTGTTTTGCTGAATATTTTTCTAATTTATTCCTTAGATCAGATCAAAAGTTTGATATTATTCATTTGTTAATATTATTGTTATTACTATTATTATTATTATTATTTCAATACTGTGCTTATTATTAATTAACTAAATAATTAATTAATTACAAAACTAATTAAAAATATGGATTAATAAACAATATTGTTTAATTAATTATTATTCAATAACAATGCACATTAATTTATATTTATTAACAATTGTTTTCTCTTGATTTATAATATTAATTAACAATACTGTTAAAGAAATTAATATTCATGAACAAATTGTTTATTAAATTATTATTCATTGAAAATCTGTTTAATAAATCAATATTCATCAACAAACTGTTTGATAATTAATATTAATTGACAATCTGTTTAATAAATTAATATTCATTGACATTATTGTTTAATTAATTACCATTCATTAAAAATACTGCGATAAATTAATTAATATTTATTAACAATATTGATTAATAAATAAATATTCACTAACAATATTGATTAATAAATAAATATTCACTAAGAATATTGATAATTAAATATTATTTACTATGACAATAATAATTAATTATTATAAATTAACAGTATCAAAATTATTATTTACTTGTAATTAGTCTTAATTGGTTTAATTATTATAATTTAATTGATTTAGTTACTAATTAATATTATTTATTTAAATCTCAGAAATATTATTAATTAATTAATAATTAATAATAAATTAAATAAATTAAATAATTAATAAACTTATTATAATGAGTTATTTCAATTATTAATTAATAATTAGAAATTATTATTAATTTTATTAATTACAAATTATTATTAATATTATTTATTTATTATACATTATTATTATTAATATTAATTAATATTTACAAGTAATAAATATTACTACGAATTGATATTAATTATTTTGAAATGTGGTTTGTTAAAAATATAGAAGTTTTTTTTAATAAAAAAAGAACTGTTAATAAATTTGTTTAAAAAATTAAAAGACTAAATAATTAAATAAATTTTTTAAAGTCTGGGATCTTTTTTTTAGAAATAAAAGACATTTAATGTGCATTGGCTCGATAGTGAATGTTCAGCACGTCTTAACTTCCGCCACCTGTATTCAAGAAGCTACTTATATTAGGTATGATTCGACATTTATGGAGTTGATCCTCAAGGTTTCGATTGTCTGAAGTCTAGCATATAAATTTCATTTCTTCAATAAATAAAAAAAAAAAAGAAAGAAAGGAAATTGTTTATAAATATTTTCTTTGTCGAACAAGAGAAAAATTATTTTAATTACAAATTTAATGTTTAATATATTTATTTAAATTTATTCAAAATGAATTTTAAAATAAAACACTAATGAATTTTGTTTCTTCTCTTACTTTTAATTTTTTTTTATAAATTCTGTTTTTTTATAATTTTTTTTTAATATTCAATATATCAAGAATTAGTGGATAATATCTAAAGTTTAGAAATTTATTTTTCAGGCATAATTTAAAAGCTCCACTTGTTGTGGTTGTTGGTGTATTAAAATCAAAACCGCAAGTGATTAGAGTCAACAATTATGAAATTCATCCTGAACATATCGCGTTTCCTTACAATTCTCAACATTCTGTTCATAATATTGCTGTCGTTAAATTAGCCTGCAGGTATTTTTTTAGATTAATAAAAAATGTTTTTCATATAACAATCACAAATTTAATTAATAATAAAATTAATGCTTTTTATGTATTAAATTTTAGAATTGCAACGGAACATTTCGCGCCGATTGAATTGCCAAATGCTCCATTTACAGAACTTTGTCCAAATGATAATTGCATGGTGGCTATAATTAGGAAAGTTGGGAAAGTAATTTCAATAATTTATCTCATTCAGTTGTTGCTATTTAACAATAGTAGCAAATTTTTAGTTAATAACTTCAATTAATTAATTAATTAAACGTATTTTATTCGAAACTGATTTAAGTTTAAACAATTCATTTAATAATAAATTAATTTAATAATAATAATTTTTTAGTTTATAATAATAATTATTTCTTAGCTTGTAGAAATATTAATTTCCCTTTAATCTATAATAAACATTAATTTCTATTCAGAAAATATTAATTAAACTTTATTTACTTAATTTTTTTTTTTTAATAATTATTAATATTATTATTTAATAATATTTATTATTTATTCTAATTATTATTTTATTTATTAATTTCTTGGTTAATAATTAGTTAATTAATAATTTAATACTTAAATTATTAAAGTTAATATACAACTGTTAAAAACAGGAAATAAAAATCTCGAACTCGTGGGGAATCGAACCTTAGACGCGAAGCTCGCAAAATGGCAAGAGCGTAGCGCACGCGGCCACGCTCACTGAACAATTCAAACAAAAATATTTCAAATTAACGAACGTATAAGAGAACTAAAAAATGATTTTAAATTATAGAGAAAATGAATATTTATTAATTTCGATAACTAAAAATTATTATATTATTACTACTAATACTAAATTACTACTAATTAATATAAAATTACTACTACTAAATTTTATAATTAATAATACTAAAATTATGATATTACTGATAAAGCTTAATTTTTCCTATTAACTATTAAAACAACAGAAAAATTTAAACAACAAAAATACATTATTGCCATAAGAAATGTCAATTATTCATTTTCTTTTTCATTTAATCTCTAGACATCAAATGTAATATACGACACGTGGGCAAAGCACATACCTTTAACCAGAAGAAAACGAGGATTGACGGAAACGACTATAGAATTACAAAATAACAACACTTTTAAAACACCACCTGCCAATATTGAAGAAAAATTGAACGAAATGTTGGTAGCACAACGTCGAGTTAAATTAAACGCCAAGCAAGACATATTGCCCAATAACATCAACCAGACTGTAACGGGATTTTCTAAAATGGAAAAATCAATGCCAGTTAAAATTGCAAAAGAAAAACGTAATTTTGCCATTTTTCATCAACTTGCAAGTGAATATAGTGGTAAAATAAATAAATATAAATTTATTAATTGAAAAATAAATTTAAAACTATGAAATTCAAATTCAGAAAAATATATTACTATAGTAGATAACAGACATAAAAATTACTATACTTATAATGTAAAAACGAAACAGTCTCGAATTTCTGTGTATTTCATGTATTTCTACTTATTTTTAAATATTACTATTTCCGGAGTAAATTTTTCAACGTTCACAGTAAATTTTACTTTTAATTTTCAATAAAATTTCTTTCCAAAATAGTAAAAAATTAACTCCAAAAATTGTAAAAGTTGTCAAAGATTGCAAATGTGCAAAAATTTCAGACAGATTTCGCTAAAAAAATAGTATGGTAAAAATTACTTTATTCGTGTCAAGTGGGATAGTTAGAAAAAATGAATAATAACTCTGAAAAAATTGTTAAATTCGTAGCAAGTTCAATGGCTAGTGATAATCTTGATGAACATGTATTTCAAAATGATTCCAATCGAAATAACAAAGTACGGTTATTTTCTGTAAGAGCGAGCGATGGATTTCAAGGATGTCCGCAGACGGGATCACCTGTTATGTTCGGAAGGGTTCAGGTAACATATAATTAAGACTAAACTCCTTCTAATCTACAGTTGAATAGTAATAAAAGAAATAGCCCATAAATCATGAATCTCATAGGAAATTAAAATAAATCATTACTGCTTCAAAATAAAAAAAGAAACAAATTCAAATTTTTCTCACTATTGAAGACTTTTTTATTTGATAGAAATTTATCTAATAATATTTTTCTAATGACTTTTCCCTGAAAGAAGAAATCATACCACTTCTAAACTCAAAAATATAACTATTTTTTGAAATTTTTTCAATTTTTATGAAATTAATATTTTCTAATTAAAGAAATAAATAAAGGAATTCAAAAAAATCAATAAAGATATTGATCTAAATCTCTTGTGTCCAAGAAAAATATTCTCCACATAACTTAATTTTCCCTTAAGTCGAAACTTTAATATTTTTTTCTTAACAATATTTTATTCGTAGTTAAAATTATGAATAATTTCAAATCCCAGAATTGACACACAAAAAATTAATTTTGTTTTTCCCTGATTTCCAGGCAAAATTTTGAATTAATCTCTTTCCCTAAAGATTATTCTGATTCACTCTCAAAATTATTAGAACCCAATGGGAAGTTGCCAATGTTAACGATTGGTTCAATAATGGGCCATGCTTGGTACCCAATGGTTTTTTCTTGGCAAAACAATTGGCAACCATCATTGGACCACCAATGGTTTAAACTTGGGATGATCACGCTACTGCCAATGATCGGTAGCCAAGCATCGGGCCAATATTAGTTACCAAGGAATTGCCAAGGAAACAAAATCGATTTTCAAAAGCTTGATTTTTTATTGGCAGCCAACAAAAAACCAAGGTTTTGAAAATTGATTTTTTTTAATTATTAATTAAAATTTATTTTTAAAAAATATATTTTTCAAAAATTTATTTAAAAAAAATATATTTTTTAAAAATATATATTTTTTTAAATTAATAGAACATATTAATTTAATTTGTCACCTCTGGTAAAACAAAGATGAAAGACTGATAAATTCCCTCACTTTATATTTTACAGTGGAGGGATAACTGTGAATGTCTTTGCGAGAGAGGAGCAGGTACTTATATAGAGCCAGTGAAACAGGTCACAAGCGAGAAGAAATCACTAGCATGCACTCTGGCGGCGCTTGTCGGAAGTGGCGCAACGTTGGTTGCCAAGCGCTGTGTCGATAACGTCAGGATATGCATGCGCGCCAGAAAACAGTTCCGACAAGCGCCGCCAGAGTGCATGCTAGTGATTTCTTCTCGCTTGTGACCTGTTTCACTGGCTCTATATAAGTACCTGCTCCTCTCTCGCAAAGACATTCACAGTTATCCCTCCACTGTAAAATATAAAGTGAGGGAATTTATCAGTCTTTCATCTTTGTTTTACCAGAGGTGACAAATTAAATTAATATGTTCTATTAATTTAAAAAAATATATATTTTTAAAAAATATGTTTTTTTAAAATAAATTTTTGAAAAATATATTTTTTAAAAATAAATTTTAATTAATAATTAAGAAAAATCAATTTTCAAAACCTTGGTTTTTTGTTGGCTGCCAATAAAAAATCAAGCTTTTGAAAATCGATCTTGTCTCCTTGGCAATTCCTTGGCAAATAATATTGGCCCGATGCTTGGCTACCGATCATTGGCAGTAGCGTGATCATCCCAAGTTTAAACCATTGGTGGTCCAATGATGGTTGCCATTAATGTTCCAATAATGGAACGGAGTTCGCCAAGCATGGCCCATTATTGAACCAATCGTTTACTTCCCATTGGGAATACTCAAAAAAATGTTCTATTACATTTTAATTTACGAATTTCATTAATTGTAAAATTATTCAAAAACATCAATGACTTCTAATTTAAATAAATATTTAATCATTAGTATTTTTTCGTAGAAATTAAGATTTTAATAAAATTTCTCAAAAGAATTCAATTATTTAAAAAAATGAAATAAAATTCGTTGAAAGAATTCAATTATTTTCATAAATAATAAAATTCTTCACAGGATTTCAAAATTATTTAAAAGAAATGTAATAAAATTCGTTGCAAGAATTCAATTATTTTCATAAATAATATTCTTCACAGGAATTCAATTATTTTTAATATAATTTTAAGTAAATTCTTCGAAAAATGGAATTAATTTAAAAAATATTATTAAAATTCTTCAAAAGAAATAAACGAATAAATATTAATTATTTTTAATAATTTTTGCAAAAGTTCCTAAAGAATTTTCAAATCCATTTGTTAACAATTCAATTTTACGAAATTTTGACTATTTGGAAATTCTTCAATTAAATATTTAGAAGATAAAAATTTGAAATAATTTTTTTTTAAAATTCAATTAAACTTTTTCAAAAAAATTAATTTCAAAATTCAATTATTTTAAAAAATTCACACTATATTTATTTTAATATTCAATCATTATCTAAAATTTTAAACGGAAATTAATTTTTAAAACAAGTTTTATTAGAAAATTCTACGAGAATTCAATTATTTGAATACAAAAATAAAAAAAAAAATGGTTGAATAAATGAATGTTTCTCAAAATTAAATTCTTATAAAGAAAATCAACAAATTTTTAAATAATTGAATTGTTTCGACGAATTTTAATTAAATTTTTAAGAATAATTACATTTTTCAAGGAATTCAATTAAAATTGTATTAAAAATAGTTGAAATTCTATGATGAGTTTTATTATTCATGGAAATAATTGAATCTTTGTAAAAAATTTGATTATTTATGAAAATAATTGAATTATTGCGAAAGAATTTGTAAATAATTGAATTTCTTTGAAATTTTCATTATTTATAAAAATAATTATACGTTTGCGTAGAATTTTATTAAAATTGTTTTTAAATAATTAAATTCTTTATTAGAATTTTTTAAAATATTAAAAATAATTGAAATTTTAATGAGAATTTAAAAAAAAATTTTTAAATAATTGAATTTAAGCGCAAATTTTAATATTAAAAAAATAATTGAATCTCTTTAAAAACTTAATTATTTATAAAAATATTAGAATTATTGCAAAAAAATTTATTAAAAATTTGTAATAAATAGTTTGTAAAATAATAATTTTAAATAATTAAATGTTTGCCTAGAATTTTACCAAAATTTTTTTTTGAAGAATTGAATTCTTTTTGAAAATTTTATTAAAATAGTAGATAATAAAAATCATTGAATTGAGGAAATTTTTTTAAATTTTCGAAATTTTTCCAAGAAATTTATTAAAATTGTTTAAAGTAATTGAATTTTTGAGAAGCATTTTATCACTTTCAGAGATAATTGAAATTATGCCAATAATTTTGAAAAATTTTTGAACATAATTGAATTTGTACGAAGAATTTTTTTATTTATGAAAATAATTGAAATTTTGCCAAGAAATTTATTCAAATTTTTGAAAGTAATTGAATTTTGGAGAAGAATTTTATTACTTTTAGAGATAATTGAAATTTTGACAATAATTTTTAAAAATTGTTGAACACAATTGAATTTGTACGAAGAATTTTTTTATTCATGAAATTAATTGAATTCCTAAAAAGAATTTTATTATTTATGAAAATAATTGAATTTTTGCTAAGAAATTTATTAAAAATTTGTAAATAGTTAAATTCTTGTGAAACTTTCATTATTTATGAAAATAATTGAATTTTGGAGAAGAATTTTATTATTTTTAAAGATAATTGAAATTTTAACGAGAATTTAAAAAAAAATTTTGAACATAATTGAATTTCTGCAAACATTTGTACTTTCTCTAAAATTCAATTTTTTTTTAGTGTTTTTAATTGAAATTCTTCTGTAAATCCATGATTTTTAATAATTAATTAAATACATATTAAAAAATTAAATAAAACTAATTATGAATCATGCAAATTAATTTTTTTACAGTACTTTATAATAAAAATCCCTGACTTTTGCCTAATTTACTTGACCAATTCTAGTTTTCTGACGTTTCCCTGAATTCCCTGATTTTCCTGACCTGTGGCAACCCTGAAAATGTTACAGAGTCAAAATTTAAAAAAAAAATTTCGGGTAGAAATTCTGTGATAATAATAAAGAAACGTTCACTTAAAATTCTCCTATTTCGATATATTTTGCATAATTTTCGTAAAAATAATTATTGAAAAAATTGTTTAAACATTCATGTGCCTCGTATAATTTTTCGAAGGCAAAAGTTGGCATATGATACCTTGAAAATAAAATTCCCTTTTTTTTTCTTTTACATAAAGGCTGCTTTAGTGTCAGTATCGTGTGACGATAGACAACCAGACACACCATGGAAGTATACAGATATTTATTCAAATCTCGACTGGATAAGAAAAATAACAGGAGTCTTGATAAATGATTCAGTGAGTCGTTCACCTTCTGATTCAGTATTCGGTTGCACTACATGTATTTACAATTTTTTCATCGATCTCACTGGACCCAATGAAACACTCAATTGTACCGATCTCGACATATTAACAAACAATAAATTTTGCGCCTCAAATTATGAGAAACAAGACTATTCACGTTCTATAATATCTCAAAAATCCAGATACTCCAGATTAACAGAAAATAATCAAAATCAATTAAACGAAACGAAATCCAACATTACAAATCGAAAATTTCAACAAAATTTAAGAAATCAAAACTTTCGAAATTTTCTTCAAAGAATTTTGAAGGATAAAAATTTGCAACAGATGAAAAATAATTATAATCGTGAAGAATTACCAAAAGGGGGTAAAAATGATAAAAATTACCAAATAGTAACTGGAAAATCGAATACTGAAAAGAATCGAAAATTTATGAAATTGAATAAAATGATTGAAAATATGTTGAAGGAGGAATATTTTCATAAAGACAATACTAATGAAAAAGGAATACAATCGGAGAGTGTTAATAGAAATTTTCCGAATAAATCAAAGAATGGAAATCGATTAAAGAAACAAGTGGAAATTGATAAAATTCCAATAAATGAATTTGATTATTCAATGATGAAAACGATAAAATCACAACCGAGTATTGATTATAATCCATTAGAGAACAAGTTCCATAACCTCCGGATGCTCTTGGCACGTCTCCAAAAGTCAATGCCTGCCAAGGAAATAAGGCAAACGTCCATGATTGGAAAACCAATACGAATCCTGCCATACGGCAGAATTTTTAATCCGACAATATAAAATTCATGGAAACTAAAAATACCTGATTTCTCTCCAATTTTAAAAACTTATATTTTTTTTTGTAATAAAAATACACAGTTTTCTTGAAAGTATCAAATTTTTATCAAAGTGGTTCAAATACAAAAAATTTGGATAAAATTGATGCTTGACATTTGGATCAAATAAATAGTAAACAATTGAATCAATTTTTTGAATTTGAATCAATAAATTTAATACCAATGTTTGATATCAGTTACAATGTGATACTTTCAATTTTTTAACTTCTTAACAATGATAAAAGAAAAGTTGTACTAAAATCTGTACCGTATTGTTAAAAATAGGTTCATTTACACAATAAAATAATTAAACAAAAGGCAAACTAGTTCATTTCTATTGTTTGTATTTCTCACCCTTTTTTCATTTTAAGTTCAAGATGTTTAACATGTGATAAAATGTTGAAAGAACAATTTTGAGGATTAGAAATGAAAATCTAATTTCATGTATGCTTGTATTCTAAATGTTACTTGTGAAGTAGAAAGTTTCATTTTTCAATTAGAGAAGTACTTATTTGTGAAATTTCCATTCCCTAAACCACAAATTACGATTTGAAATTGAAATCACATCGTCAATTTTGATTAAAATAATTTTTAAGAAATTAGAAAAAATATTTCCCTTCAAGGAAAATGCTAAATTTAAAAAAATTGCTTTTGCATGCATTTTAAAAATACCAATAAATCAAAATAATAATTATAAATTTTATTCAAGGAATGTAATTAAAAATTAAATGAAAATAATTATTACACTCTAAAAAACAAATAATATCAAATTATTTTAAATAATTGAATTCATTCAAAGAATTTTATTGAAATTTTTAAGAATAGTTGCATTTTTCGCTGAATTATTTTTAAATTATATTAAAAATAATTGAAATCCTGCGATGAGTTTTATTATTTATGAAAATAATTGAATTTTTGCAACGATTATTATTAAAATTTTTAAAAATAATTGAATTCCTGAGAAGAATTTTATTATTTATAAAAATAAATGAATTGTTGCGAAGAATTTTATAAAAATTTATTTAAATAATTGTTTTTTTTTCGAAAAATATAAGGAAAATTTTGTTTTAAATAATTGAATTCCTGTGAAAATTTTTTTATTTATGAAAATAATAATTGAATGTTTGCGAAAAATTTTATTAAAATGTTTAAAAAGAATTGAATTTCTGTAAAAAATTTTGTTTTTTTCGAAAATAACTGAATTCTTTATAAAAATCTTATAAACATTATTTTAAATAATTGAAAATCACAATTTTTCAAACATTCAGTTATTTAAAAAATCTGCAGTTAAAATTTTTCAAAAAATTGATTATTTCCAAATATTTTAATACAGTTCTTCGAAAAGTCAATTATTTTACAACATAACTTTACAAAATTTTAATTATTTAAAAATTTTCAATTAACATTTTCTAAAAATTTAATTTTTTAAATATTTTCAATTACAACTTTCCCACAATTCGATATTATTTAAACAATTTTTTTAATTACAATTTTTCCAAAATTCAATTATTTAAATATTTTCAATTACAATTTTTTAACAACTTGATTAATTAAAAAATTTTCAATCATCATTTTTCAAAAATTCAATTATTTAAAAAGGGAAATTTTTGAAAATAATTGAATAGTTGCAAAGAATTTTATTAAAATTTTCAAAAATAATTGAATTCTTGATTTTAACTGTACAGTAGTTAACATTAATATTTTTTAAAATTCCCTTTTTCAATGAAAGTTAATTTTTAAAAAATATGAAGGAAAAATTTCCATGTTTAGAAATTTTTTCCTAATTAAGAAAAAAAAAATTTCAACAAACGTTTAGTTTATTGAAACATTTCTTAGTATTCAATTTGATAACATACGCTAAATCAGCTTTCCACTGTTGTTTATTATCAGTTTCAATCAACTAATCGAGTTTTGTTAAAAACTCTTTACCAGTAATTTTATCGACAATTGACTATCGTTTTTTTTACCACAAACGTATTAGATGTATATTTGCTAATTTTACACGAACTATTGAAACTCTACAAACGTTTTTTAATGCTCATTGATTAAAGTCGAATTATTTCTCGACGGTGGCGAACAAGTGTATCTCGTCAATAACTTTATTTAACAAAAAAGCAAAAAAAGAAAAAAGAAAAGATAAATAAAAAATAAGTAGAAAGTAAATAAAAAAAAAATTTAAATAAAAAGTAAATAAAAAATGGAAAGTAAATAAAAATAAATAAAAGTAAATAAAAAAAAATTAGTAAAAATATGAAAGTAGATAAATACTATAAATAATACTAAATAAATACAAAATTAGTAAAAAAGAACAACTAAAAATTGTAAAAATAGACTAGAGAAGAAAAAGTTTTTTCGAAAAATACAAAAAAAAGTTCCAAGCCAACGAAGTTTTTTTATTCTATTAAACGTGGGCAATTGAGGCTCTCGATAGTTTTTTGAAAAACTTGTTAACGATAAAAAAAATTACCTCTGCCAATGAAGTTACGGGAGGCTAATAAAAATAAAACGATATCGTCATCATGGGTCTAAAACTGTTAATACTTTTACTGTTACTAGTGATGCGTTCCAGTCTGTCGGAGAAAGCTGACAATCATGGTAATAAACTGCATGATAATGATTTTAAAAGGTTGATTAACGTGAATGTTTGAGGATTTTTTTCTCAACTCTTCCTCAATATTCCATTTTTAGAAAATTAAAATTATTTTCTTTCCGGTAAACCAGAAAATGGAAAGCATAACAAGAATAAAGAAATTGCGGAATGCAATTTTTTCCAGGTAATTCAAAATTTTTCCAAGCAATTTAAAAATTCAAAAATTATTTATATAAAAAAATAATCCAATAAAATCACTGTTAATATGAAAATATCAAATTGCAATAACGAATTGATACCAAAATGTGAATCAAATTACAAATTAATCATAAATAAATTTTAAATAAAATAACAAAAATAAATAAAAAATAAATTTTTATTTTCAAAAATAAATTTTTATCTTAAAAAATGTGAATTTTTAGAATTTTAAAAATTTGAACTTTTTCCTATAAATGAAGCTCGTTAGTTTCTTGATTAACATGAGTATTGAATATATTTGAATACTTTCACGAATCATGACAGTTGACAATCAAAGATGACACCAACGAGTAAAATTCTTATGAAAATTTATCAATACATCTGATTGTGTCTTCAGAGAAAATTTTCAAATTCAAAACGTGATTTGAATTTTTTTTTCTCCCACAGTCACTTGTTCGGCAGAAGCGCGAGGCGTCAATCTTTGATAAGGCGGAAAAATCCGACCGGAAGAGTAAGAAATTGCGCACCGTTAGTGCCAATGAACTTGTGGTAGAAAATACAGAAGAAAAAGAAGGAGGTGAAGAAAAAAAAGATGAAAATGCACAAAAAGAAAATAAAGGAGAAAATAAAAGAGAAGCTAAAGAAGAAGAAGAAGAAGAAGATGATGAATACCAAGAAGAAATTATTGTCTTGAATGAAACTGAAAAAAATCTATTGTCTTTTCTTCGAGGAAATTCAGATCAGAAAATTCATTCGAAGGTCAAATTTAACAGGCAACATGAAAGAAGAGAAAAGAGGGAAACACAAGAATTGTGGATACAAAGAGAATTTAATGGTTACGATGACATTCTTAATTTGCATGCATTTATTATTCGCGATGAAGAGACACAACAATGTGGAACAGCCGCCAATAAAATCACGTAAATAATAATAATAATTCCCGTATAATCGTATTTTTTTTTAATTTTTCAAAGAAAATTGAAACTATTTTTACTTTTACATAAAAAGATTCTACCGAAAATCTTGCGCAGTTGAAAATCCGATGGGAAGATGGAAAATATTAATAACCAAAGAATCTCTTTCTGTAAAATTGCTTCTCTGAATTTTCAATTTTCTTTTTTAATTTTACAAAACTCATTCCTTATTATTTCAAAAAATGTTTATAAACCAAAGCTTCAATTTCTAAAAATGCTTCTTTGAATTTTGAAAAATATTTTTTAATTTTACAAACTTATTCTTTAATTTTCAAGAAACGTTTATAAATCAAAATTTCAAGTTCTTTATTTTCTAGAAATTGAAATTTAATTAAACTCAATTCCTATTTTTAGGGACAAAAATATTTTTTGACACAACAAAATTTGTCAGAGACAATTTGTCAGACATTTAAAAAATTAATTTCTAATTTTTATGACGCACAAAGCTGATCATAAATGCTTTCAGTTTCAATCATTTAAAGGTTTTTAATAAAATATAATTTTTAATGCAATTTGTACTCACGAATATTTCTCAAAAATAAATTGTACTGAAGAATAACTCACCTGAAACAGAGGAAAAAAATTATCTTTGTTAATTATTTTAAACCATTTTACAATTCTAATTAGTACAATGTGTATATTGTTTGAATTATTTTTTTTAATTACTTTATAATAAATAATAATAAAAGAAATAATAATTTTTAATTAATATAAATTATTAATAAACATCGCATAACAAAAATAATAATAATTGTTAATAATAATAATAATAATAATAATAGTAATAATAATAAGCGCAGCTTTGAAAAATAGGACATGTTACTTTACCCCCACTCCAGATCGGCAGCCGAAATATTATTTTTAATTTAAATTTATTTTTTTCAAAATCTATAAATAAATAAATATCTATATATTTTAATATTTTTTTATAGAAGTAAAAATAATTTTTTATTTATTTTAATATTTAGTACAACTTTAATATTAATAAAATAATAATTATAAATTTTTAGAGTTATGTAAATAGATTTCGATTTTATTTCTAGAAACACACGTTACTTCATGTGCAGTGGAGTTATTTTAACGAAAAAATTTATATTAACAACAGCGTCTTGCGTTCAATATGCACACATTTTCGAGTAAGTACATTAAAAAATTTTAAATATAAAAATAAAAAAAAAATTTTCAAAAATTTTGAACAGTAGTAATAAAAATAATAGTAAATCCTAGGAATATTTATGAATAAAATTCAAAAAATGGAATTAGTTCTAAAATTTTAGCTTATTGTTTGTAAGTTTTTAAATTCAAGGAACAATGCGCGCGCAGATTTGGAAAACTGGGGGACCAATCACAAATCACTTTATCCCCACCCCTGGTCGACGGCCGACGAACTATTTTTTATTTAAACTTATTTTAACCACAAAAAGAAGAGAAAAAATTAAAAACATATTTTATATTATATTATTATATAATTATAATTAATGCAAAAGTAATAATAATATATAATATAATAATATATTAGAAAAATAATGAAATAAATTAAAATTGGGTAAAAAGGACAATCCGAATTTATGTTCTCTTCTAAAAAAAGAAAATAATATAATAAATGAATTGACTTATGAATTATTAATAATAATAATACTAATAGTAATAATAATAAAAATAATTTAAAAATTTGTAGACATCACATTAAAGCAAATCTATCAGTTTTGATTGGCGCCGTGTCGAATGAGGCTCACGTTATAAAAGTAAAAAAATACGAGATGCATCCAGAATATAAAAATAATGCCGAATCAACAGATTATGCTCTTCATAATCTGGCCATAATTACAATTGCATGCGAGTATAAAACATTTTTAATTAAATTAAAGAAATTACATTTTTTGTTTTTTTATTCAATTTTTCAGAAAATATCTATTTGAGAAAAAAATATTTTTCTTCTTCTAAAAAACATATAATTATGTTTTTACAGAAAAGTATTTTTTCATACAAAAGACTTTTATACACATAACATAAAAAAAATGACTTATTTTATCAGTAGTTACAGAAAAAAAATATTTAATTTTTAGTATACCACAGGAAGTTCTCAGTCTTCCAACATTTCCGGCTAGATATGAAGACGTCTCTCATATGTGTTGCTCAGATACTTGTCAAATTCTGACAATCGTACAAACACCAACTGTAGGTGAAATTTAAATTTAATTTCAAAAACAAAAATTTAATTTTGCAAATTTTTCAGAATAGACACATGATTCAACTTATGGATGCCAAATATATTCCACGAACAGTACACAATGATGATGATGATGATGTTGGAGAAAAAAATAATTTTGAATTAAAGAAAAAACGTGCACCAAGTGGGAAAAAAATTAAGAGAGAAACTAATATTGCGCCCGCTCCAATTTTTCTCCTTCCTGAAGGTCCAAAAAAAGAAGAAACTACCACTGTTAATACAGTGATTAGTAATGATGCTCAAAATGATAACAATAATAATAAGCTAATTAAACAACTGTCAAATTTCACAGGTAAATTTTCCCATTTCACTAAATTCTATATTAATTATAATAAACAGGCAAAAATTAATTAAAAAACTTGATTTTAATTAATTTTTCAGAAGAAATATTAATGAAAAGTATTATAAATTAAAAAATATTAATTAAAAAATTTGATTTAAATTAATTTTTCAGAAGAAATATTAATGGAAAAAATAACCGAAGAATTATTACGAGGATTGTTTAGAGAGAAATATGATGGTAATTTAAATAAACCACAAACAAATAATACCCAAGAGATAATGAGAGGATTTTTCAAGGGAAGTTTAGATTTGGGTGAAAATAATAATTCACCTTTAACTGAGGAGCAAATGAAAGCAATTTCAAAATTTATTAAATTAATTACTGAAAAAGCAATGTTGCGAGTAGTGAAAATTATAGATGAGGCGAAAATTGATAAAATGTTCTCATCATCAAAAGAAGAAAATGGTGATTATTTAGTTGACAATATTGCACAGATTGTCAAGGATAATGTTCTACTTGAACTTGAAGAAAAATTGAGTCCTAGAAATTTATTTAATAATACTTTCACGGAACCCAGTTTGAAATACGTTCACTGTCCACCACTTGGAACACCGATTATTGTCAATAAAACTTTGGTAATTGTACATTATTTTGGTAATTAATATTTTTTTGGGGGCATTAACTTTCAATTTGAATTTTAGTAAAAGAAAAACTCTAGAGCCTTCTTTGATTTGATTGAATTTATTGACTTTAATTGAGTTTTTCTCAATTTTAGTTATAAATGCTCCACTTGAGAACGCCCAAGGTCACCACCAGGTGGCAGGAGAAATTCCAGGAAAGAAAACTGCCATCTAGCGGTGACCTTGGCGTTCTCAGGTGGAGAATTGCGTCTCCATATTAAATCTCAAAATGTTCGTTAATTTTACTAATTCTAATTTTTTTCGAAAGATTTTCATTTTTAATTTTCATTTTCAAAGTGAAAATGTAAAATAAATATATAAAAAAAGAAAAATATAAATATAAACAAATAATAAATATACAAGTATAAATTTATAAAAAATAAAAAAAAAATATTTCTTCAGATCGCATTAATTGCCTACACATGTGATGATCTTCAAAGTTGGGTACCCTGGCAATATGTAAATATTTACAAAAATTTGCAATGGATCGAAAATACAATTAATGGAAGAAAAAATCATTTAAAAAAATCAGAATCAACTTTCGGTGATAATGAAAATATTCACGTATTCGAATCATCAGGGGAAAATGATGAGAAAATTAATAAATATTCAGAAGAGGAGAATGTACCATTTGATAATATTTCACGCAATACAGATAAGGAAAGATTCAAAAAGGAGCAACAAATTTCAAAATTTACTGATAAAAGTCGACGACATCTTAAAAATATGAAAACAATTTTTACCGATTACTTAAAAAATCATCCAAATTCAATATTTCATAATATCACACAACAATTAAAATTCCCAACTAAACAAAAGAGCAGAGAATCCTAAAAAGTTTTTGTGAATTTATTTCAAGGAGTTCAACATCCTTTGACATAATCTCAAACGAAAAAGCTAAATGTTTGTAATACAAAATAAAAAAGAAATTAAAAATAATCTAAATTTTGAAAATTGTCGGACGAATTTAAAAATTTTCGAAATAATAAATCATTTTTAACTATTATTAAAAATAAAAATGGGAGCAATGATAAAATGGGAGTGAATAATAGTTTATTTCAGCCTAAGATAAAATGGGAGTGTAACAATAATGTTGCAAACGTTTTGGAATCGTTACAATACATAAGATCAAAGTTATCGTACAGAGTGTAAAAATTACCATACTGATTGTAGATATTGCCATACTGATTGTAAATTTTACAATACTGATTGCAAATATTGCTAATAGTTTGAGAACGTGTTAATATATATATTGTAAAAATTACAATATAGTTTGTAAAAATTACTATACTGATTGCAAATGTTACACTACTGATTGTAAACATTACAAATACCAGGCTTCGCACTCACCTACCAAAACCTACAATTTTACTACTTTCTTCAAGATTAGTTTATGTTTCCAATTAATTGGAAATTTTTGTCAAATTTAATTGAAATAAATGTTATATTTAAAAAAAAAATTAAATTTTTACTTTTAAAAATTATTTTTAAAAATAGTTTTATTTAGAAAATAATTGCATTTCATAAAAATTTAGAATTAAAGTTATTACCAGGATAAGAAAAAAGTGAATTTTTTTTTATGTAATTCATAGAAAAATGTCAGGGAAATATACAGAATTAATTTTTTGGGATTTTCGTAAATTGAATAAAACGAGTTTTTTAGTCGTTAAATTTAATGTTTTGATAGAAGCATTTTTAATACTTTTTTCAGTCTTGAAGCTACTTTTTGCTAATTTTCTAAAATTAATTATTGAATGCGAAGCCTGCAAAATACTGATTAGAATTATTACAATATTTATACCAAATTTTCCAAAACCCATTAAAAATATTTTAATATTTCAAAGTAGTCTTCCTCTAAATTTCTTTCATCCTATTAAATTATTAGAGTTTCAGAAAGTTTATTATAATTTTAGCAAGTATAAATCTGTAACACAGTTTATAATATACTTTTGAAGATAAAAACTTTTTTCATCGTCATATAAAGTACAGTGGAAAAAAAATTCACAACTCAAATAAGAATTGTTCCAGGGATTTTAAAGTAATGCGCTCTAAAAGAGAATATTTCCCATCAGGAAATATCATCGCGGTTAGAAAGTTACAATAAATTACATTTGGAGAACACGCTTTCCCCATAAACTCCTAATTTTTTGAGATCGCAAATTCTTATGTAATTATATTCTCTTAATTTCGCGCTAATTAAAATTTTCTTTTTGTTTTAATTATCATTAAAAATATACATGAATTGTATAATTATTATGTGTATAAAGAGGAAAATTGTAAAATAATAATTTTGAACTTTAGATAAAATCTAAAATGTTCTAAATTTATTATTAAAAGTTCAGATAAAAAATAAAATATATATTGACAATGAGAGAAAAGAGATGAGGTTATAATTTTTAGTTTATGTAAAATATGCTCCTGTTAATTTATTTGTTGGGATTATGATTTTTGTTGGTAAACTGAAATATTTTTTTTTTTATCATATTATTTCTGTTATCATATTTCTTTTTGTTATCAATTTTAAATTATTTTGACATTTTTTTACTATAAAAAATGTATTTGAGGGATAAAATGGTGCGTTGATTTCTCCACTTGAGAACGCCAAGGTCACCACGAGGTGGCTGAAGAAATTCCAAGAAAGAAAACTGCCATCTAGCGGTGACCTTGGCGTTCTCAGGTGGAGAATTGCATTTCCATACTTTAACAGTAAATATAATGAAAAATAGCAGCGAAATTTTTAATAACTTAATAGACACAATCAATAGTTTCTTAGTATAAAATTGCAAAATTATAATTTGAATTATGTGCATTCGAAAATTTGTAAAATTATCCATTTTAATTATTTCAATTTTAGGCAAAATCAAAAATTGTAAGATCATAATTAAATGAATAATATTTACTGGAATTTTTTGTTAGAATGGAATAAGCAGATTGACGATAAAAAAATACTAAAGAAAGATGATACAGGAAAGAAAATATCCCGGGGAAAAATCAAATAAATTTCTCATCACGTTGTAATTTTCTAAAAGTCATTAAAAAAAAATTACTTACTCAGAGGTTTCGAGATACTGGAAGACCCTGTAAATAGGGCGTCGATACATGAAGAGGTGACCCTCGACACGCTCCACCATCATCCTAATAACCTCTTCATTCAATACAATAAATAAACTCCCATAAATCCACTTCACTTATATACAAAAAGTTTGTTTCATGTATAAAAATCACAGCAGATTTTTTAGTTTCGCTTTTTTGTAAAAATTTCACAAAAAACACTAGGATAAATTTATAGAAAAACTTTTATCGTTATTTGTCTTTCCGGTTGAAATTTTGTTTGTAATTTTATTTTCTCGTATATCCGTCTCCTTTTTTTTTGCCTCTTCCTCTCTTTTTCCTCTCACTCTATGTTATATCTCCGTGGTTACTGCATTACCGGAGTGGATCGATTACTCGTACAAGACTGAACCACGGTTCGATAAGTCCATTAACTGATTTCCTTACCACAATGTAACACTCACAAAATTGTTTTTGTTTCTTCGGTTTTATTAATTTATTTTCTTTTATAATAAATATCCTCAAGAAAATATTTATGGTGTAAAGTACAGTAAATTATAGTCTCTCACTTCTTGAATTGCTTATTTTTTATTTATGTTGTAGTTAGAAAATGGATCACACATCACAGAGATTTAATTGCATCGTGATAAAGGCATTCTGTATTTTTTTAAAGAAAAAAACTATTTAATAAAGTATTTAATAAAAATTTCACTTCATTAATTTTTGTAATTTATCTAGCTCTAAATTTGAATTAGTAAAAATATTAACAACTTTAAATTAGTGATTGACTTTTTGCCTTTGAATTAGTAAAATTTACACTAGTACTATTAACTAAATTAATAAATTTTTTTTTTATTAATAAATATTTTTGCTTAAAAAATTTAATATAAAAATAAAAAAAATAATATTAATTTCATATAAATAATATAAAATTATATCAATTAATTGAAGTTCGAATATAAAAAATAAAGAAAGCTTTCTTTATTACTGGAAACTTTTTTTTTCCAGCAATAATTATAATGGGTCCACTAATCACGAAATAAAAGAAAAAAAATTGTAGAAAATTTCGTAAGTGTCATCACACTTGAGAGAGCAAGATAAGGGTCTCATTTTCCCTGCTCTTGAGTTTAAGGTCATTGGCTTGACTCAAGAGCCTCTAGCGAGTCAAGTTTTCCTTAAATTTGGTAATGTTGTCGGAAAACTTTCCCCCAACTACTCATACATAACTTGCAATTTAATAATTTCTTTTCTAAATACTTTTTTTACATTGTAAAAAAAAATATTTTAAAATGATCGAAAATATTAGTCAAATTTACCAAAAAGTATTTTTTTTAAATTTGAATTAGTAAATTTTACTAATAAATTAGTGGGCATTACTATTTATTATTCAAATTTACTAAAAAATATTTGCTTAAATTTAATTAATTTTAAAAATTTTAATTTTAAATTAGTAAATTTTACTTATAAATTAGTGGAAATTTACTAAAAAATATTTTTTTTTAATTATTAGAAATAACTATTTATTAGTAAAATTTACTAAAAAAAAAAATTTTATATTGTAATTAGTAGAAATGACTATTTAGTAGTAAAATTTACTAATTCAAAAACAAAAATTCAGTCACTTATTCAAATTAGTAAAAATTTTTACTAATTCAAATTTAGAGAGTAATTTATTTATTTTATACTGCTATCATTATTTATAACTATAAATTAGTAAACGGAAAGAATGTTTTATCCGGAATAAGTAAAAATTTTACTATATTAGCGAAGTTTTTTTTCTTCTAGTTAAATCTTTCACTATTAAAAATTAACTTATCGCTGATCGAGGTAAAACTTTTTTTCCGTTAACAATACAATAAGTACTAGAATAATAATTAATAAATTTAATAAATAAAAAAACCATAGTAGAATATAAATTATAGTATATCAATAAAATATTAATTAAATAATAAACAAATAATTTCTAATAATTAATAATAATTATTAAATATCAATAAATATTATTAAAATATTACAATTAAATTTATATTGTAGGGGCTATAATTTATACTCCAACTATAATCAAGACTATTTATTCAGTTTGCTTATTGGCCCCTAGGGTCCAATAGCCACTAAAATTTATTTATAAAAAAAAAATATTAATTAACAAACGAAATTCCACGAAAAAGTTAATTTAACATCATTTGACGAAAAAGTTAAGAAAATAAAAATTTTCCCCAGCCCAAAAAATCAAAACAAGAGAAAGAAAGATACTATTGAAGGTGGTCAGTGCGAAACAAGTTGCGCAACGCCTCTCGAGTAACTTTTAATTATATCACAATTTTTTTCGAGCAAAAAGCAAGAGCAAAAAAAACCCCTGAATTAATAAACATCACTCAACATTAAAAATCACAATTCACAATAATTTCCGTATTCACTTATTGCTTGAAGTATTGTAGAAAAATCGTGTTTCCAAAAATTGAACTCGGGAATGTTGGAGAATAAAATATATTGATGTATATCAATTTGTTTTTTGTTTCTCTTTTCTTTTCGGAGATTTTGGGCGGTATCCAGAGCCGCGGGCGTATTATCGGAATGACCTTGACTCTAAAGGATAAACTACTATACTTGGAAGTCTAGACTCGAAGAGAGAGAAAAGGATCTCGCCGTGGCGTGGACGGACTAGAAGGTTCGCCGGGAAAACAAGCACCTAGCAACACTGCCGGCATTAAGGGGAGCAAGCGCTCTGATGGGTGCGGCAAACGCGCCGCGACGCCCGGCGTCCTCTCCTATCTGTTTGCTCTCTCTCTCTCACCCTCTCCCCCCTCATCACTGCGGCACCCCTTGAGATGCGTGGCCATAGCCGGCTATTTGCTCCCTTTGACACCCTTCTCCCTCTCCCTCACTCTTTATTCGAAAAACCCCCATAAAACTCCTCTCCCCTATGCGCAAAAACCCCCCTACCTTCCCACAATGCTACGCTATTAAAAACAAATTCTTACATTTTATTTCAATTTTTATTCAGTTATTCCTATCCTTAATTTCTTCTTAATGTCGGTTTTATTTACGTACTTCCTTAATTCAGTTTCTATTTTTATTTTATTTCAATTTCAGTTTATTTTTTTGATTGCAATAACTTTAATTCCCTAATTCTTAAATTTCGTTTCAATATTTATCAGGTTTTTGTGAAGGTAAATGATATCTATTTGTGTAAATATTTTTTTTTGTGGTTTTCTGGAGTAAAGTAAACGATTATTGATTATTTACATGCGATAATATAGTAATGCGCACGTATAACGATGGTAAAACACTACTGCGCATGTCTAACTGCTGTGCAACACTATTGCGCATGCGAAACTGCGATAGAAAACTAATGCGCATGTCTAGCAACTGTGCAAAACTATTGCGCA